TCGAAGGTTCGTTGAGGTTCGTGTGACTCAAATTCTCAAGTTGTACGGGTTTGTTAAGCACCGTTAAGCTTAACGAGATAGTACTGTAGCTCGAGAGAGTCTCTCGGGAGGCTGGATTAGCCACAAGTTGTGGTGAACCAGGGTAAAATCGGTGTGCCTCTTTCTTTTCTCTTTACTTCTCGCTTATTCATTTTTATTCCTGCGATTTCTTGATCAAACGCTATTCACCCCCCCTCTAGCGTTGGTCTATTATTCTAACAATTGGTATCAAAGCCTAACTCGCGTCCAAACTTAACCGTTTGAGAGTAAAGCGATCATGGGCTCTTCTTCTAGAAATCTCTATGCAGGAATTGGAGAAGGACAATCAACCTCTAGGCCACCACTCTTTGATGGCACCAACTACTCTTATTGGAAGGAACGGATGAGAATCTATATTCGTTCCACCAACTTCCAATTGTGGTTGGTGATCAAAAATGGCGAAAAAATCCCTATGAAGAAAGTGGGAGAAACCACGGTCCCAAAGACCAAAGACGAATTTGATGCCGAAGACATCAAGAAGATCGAAAACTATGCAAAGGCCATCAATATGCTATATTGCGCGGTCAACCCCGATGACTACCGAAAGATCTCCTGTTGCACAACCGCCAAGGAGATGTGGGACAAGCTTGAAGTGACGTACGAAGGTACCGATCAAGTTCGCGAAGCAAAGATCGACTTTCTCACCCAAGAGTACGAAATGTTCCGGATGAAAGAAGGTGAGAAAATTGATGACATGTTCGACCGGTTCTCAAAGATAATCAGCGATCTTCATGCCCTCAAAAAGACCTACACCAACAACGATCTTGTGAGGAAAATCCTGCGGAGTCTCACACCCGAATGGAGGTCAAAAGCCGATGCAATCTACGAATCCATCGGAGTCTCCAACGTCACCATCGACGGGCTAAGAGGTAATCTTAAAACCTATGAATCTACTATTCTAACCCCGTCTTTGGATGAACAAAAGAAAAAGGGGATAGCTCTCAAAGCCACCAAGGAGCCGGTGGAAGAGGCTTCAAGCGATGACGACAATGAATTCAGGCTCGTCATCAAGAAGTTTCACAAGTTCATGAAGAAGGAATTTGAGCGGAAGGGAAGGAAGCACGACGGTCCTCCCAAGTGCTACGGCTGTGGCGAGATTGGCCACATCAAGCCAAGGTGTCCAAAGGCCAAACACGGCAAGGACAAGTCTGGCTTCAAGAAGCAAAGGGCCTACATCTCTTGGGGTGGCGATTCCGG